ACCACACAAGGGCTTGCTTAAACTTAGCACCCTTTGCCAGCTGCTCCGTTGACTAGCGTAGAGCCACAGTTGAAATTAATTTAAATTTAAATTTGAACTTAATGAACGATTAATTAAAATTAATTGAACGACAAAGTATTCAAGCGAGGCGTCGTCATCGCCGTCGTCGTCGTCGGTCGATTTTCCTTTCCTTTTGCTTCGATGCCACTGAACCGAACTAATGTCCCTTTCCCCGGAAAGGACTCCCTGCGTGCGGCCAACACGGGTTCGGCTTTGGAACTTTGTCCTCTGCTACCAGCCAATAGTTGGCGACAACACGGATCCGACCATGGTTGGCCCTTTACACTAGACTTTTAATTACTTCCGAACATGCATCATTGCCTTTTCGGCAGGCATGCAGGCAGGCAGGCGTGCCTGGCGTGTGCGCTCGGTTGGGACTTCTTGACAAGTAGCTTTATGACAGGGTGGCCAGTGGGTTTTCATTTTTAAAATTCCCGGTTTTTTTCCCTAGTTCAAATCTGAAAAATTTCCTGGGTGTTAATATTCAGCAAGAAACTGAAGTCATCAGTGTTAAACAAAATTGAAAACGTGATTTGTTGGACAATTGTTCTTATAAGTTTATCTAGAGGAAGCATTTGTTAAAGCCGAAAGTACATTTGCATTACAAGTTCGTTCAAATATCAAACGCAGCTATCGATGCAATTTACGAGCAAACCCTGTTGACACACATTGAACAAACAGTAGAATCGCAGTAGGCCGCGCTTGAAAGCTGACGTGTTTTTCTTTTGCTGTGTAGTTTTCGTCAGCGAATTAAACTTTTTTGCTTTGAATTTGTTAATTTGTGTACTGAAATTTAGATTCAGGTGTTCATAAAGTTGTCATTTAGTGATATATTGTATTTTTTCATGTTTAGAGGCGTCCGGTTATGAAGCCAAATTTGATTAAAGTGAAGAGAGGAGTATGGAAGGTGAAAGGGAGAAAAATGTAGTGACAAAGGAAAGAAGCAAGAAAGAAAGGTCCGTCTTGAGTGATTCGGTTGACCTTGAGTTTAACCTCCAAAATCTACGTCGCAGCTTCGGTTCTATTGTTTGGTGTCGGTTTCATTGCCTCCCGGGAGTCCGGTTCTCCGAGTTCGGATGCCACATTTTCGACGTGTGGTTCTGTTGAGCGATTCGTCACCGTGGACGAGTTTTAGCCCGGTCCGGTTAGTGAATTGGCTCGGGACAGTGTGTGTCCGTCGCGAGTTTTGGTGGTGATTCGGTGGCAGACGTTGCCGTGAATCAGCAAGTTTTCCGCTTGCAAAAGTGTTCGGCTGCTGGTCTCTTGCCGGTGTCGGAGATTCCGACTAATCCGAGCGATTTGTAAATAACCCACCCCTGGGCCGGAATCCTCTCTGTTTTATTACGGTTTTTTATTTGCTCTTTCTGGAGGAATATTTGCGTTATCTTTGCCTTTTTACGCCCACATCACTTTGTATGCAAAATTCCATTGCTGTCCGTGCAATATGTTTTCAACAGCAGTAAAAGATCGCAAAAGCACACGAGGCTTTCCCACCCCACAGTGCACAACACTGTGGAGAAATTGTTAGGGACAGGGAAGTTTTGCCGTTGTTTTCTGTTCCTCTCTTAAAGAACTTAGCATTTTTTTTTCACAGTGCCAATCTATCTTTTCAAATCTGTATTGGAAAATCCTCACAAATCTCATAACCTTTGGAATTGGCACGTGGTGATAAATATTGTGTACTACTGCACAATGTGGCACAGGAATGATTTATTTATTTCGATGTCCGCTATCGGAGCTGTTCAGCAAAAACCGAACAGAAAATATGACTCCTTGGAGGGTGTCCTGCATCTTGCCAAACTGACAGCGCGGTACAGAAATCCGAAAGAATTGAACAATCCGAAGAAAAAACATATGGATTGATTTTGCCCTGGTGAGATAAGACAACAAAAATTCAAACAAAGAATCAGTGGTTGATCAAATTTTACCACGCGTTCAATCGAAGTAGGCGGGGGGTGGTTGGGTCCGAACGAGGATGGTTTTCATTATTTTTGTGGTTGTTTTCGTTTCGTTTCGATAATGCAAATTTTCCATAGATGGCTTTGTTTTTTTTTATCATATCATACCGTCGATCGTTCCCTTGTTGTCTGTTCCGTTGTTGACGTGGAGGAGGTGTCAATGTTTACCTTAGAGTGTTCGGCAGGATCAACTCAGTGCTGAATTCACACATACATCATTTGATAGGATTAATTTATTATACATATGTGTGACAATTATTTTAAACAATACCGATGCCATTTTGAGGTACCTGTGTATGGATATGGGGAATTATACCTGCAGAACCTGCCATGTGGACTTTGCAGACACTTAACATGGATTGGAACAATAGAACTGCAGTACATTATACTTGCAACGATCGGTGTGATGAATTTAGTATTACGGTTGATTTACAGAGTGATCAATGTTAATTATTTGATTTTGTTGATTTATCAAAAAGAACGCTTCATAATAGATTATTTTTAATCCATTTAATTCAGTGATTTTTGCTATCAAATAGACACTATTTTATTCAACTCATTATTGCCCATTGATTCATTTTTTTGGGTTTCAAACCAGTGTACAATAATGGTCGAACAAATGTGGAACGAGGTAAAAAATTTCCGCTGAGGGTATTCTGAGATGAAAAAAAGAAAATTATTCAGAAATTACTGAAGAAATCCTGCGAAGAGTTCCAAAATGATTCCAACACTCATTTTTTTTCGAGATCCTGGATCAAAAAAACATGATCCAGGATTTGTAATAAAATAATGTTAATGATAAATAAATTTTTAAATTTTGAGATCACATGCTTTGACAATTTTGTGATCCGGGATTGACAAAAATCTTCAAGATTCAGGGAGTTTTATTTTAAAACATTCCGGACATGGATACATTTCCAAGATTCTGGAACATGGGATTTATTCTAGATTCTACAAAAGTTTTTGTAATGCCGAACTTCGATATGTTTTTAAAATTAACTGGAAATAAATCATTTTGTTTTGTTTTGGCATGAACATTTTTTGGACTTTAAGACATTGAAATTTTTCAATTCAAATCAGCTTTCTAATAGCTCGAAATTTCTTGTTAAAGCTCTGGAAAAACCCGGAAATCTCAGGGAATTTTATTTACCCAGATGAAATGGAAAGGATGGTCAACAGGAGATTGATTACATTTGTTTAAAATCGAAAAACATCTCGACCTCATAAAACAAAAAAGCATTGAGGCCCGGATAAACTCACGGAGAGGAGGGTCATCAGATAGCGTAGATTCCAGCATGGACACGGAACAAACACGTATTTTGGTACCCTTAGCCAGACGCTCGAGGATGTAATCTCAGAGGCAGGGGTTGAAACGGTTGACGTGTTTTTACTGCACTCGCTTCGTTGTCGTGCGCGACAGTCTGTTTGTATTCGTACACTCATGCTCTACCGTCGTCTCTCTCACACAACACAAACGGTTGAATAACATTCGAGCAAGAAAGAAAATTATCAAATAACTATCATATGACATTTGTGATTTCGTTTTAATTCCTTAATTTGGTGTAAATATAGGACATCATTGCTTGCTATTTTCAGAATTCACACAAGCACAACATCAGCAGCTCTTATTATGAGAAAAACTAAAATACATTCGTGACGGTCTTCGGCGACAGTGTCGTATGAAAAAGCCTGTCGTATGACATTTTAGTTTGGTACTGTACTATGATAGCTTGTTTTGCAAGTGTCGGAGGCGAAGGCAGTGGATTATCACAGAAAATGTGTCGACTACCGTGACTGCTTACAAGGCTGCTCAGAGGACAAGCACATCGAGCTGGTGGAACTTCTTGACGAATTTTCGGATAGTCCTGAGGAACCAACAATGCGTATTTGTATTATATAGTTAGAAATATTTGTAGGGCCACAGACATAGGCAATATTTCGCGAAATTCCACGGAATTCAGCAGTTTTTTACCTCAACTACACAGCAGAAGCTTTGCGGCAAATCGGATTTAACGCAGGCCGATGCAACTCCATTGCACAGGACGATTTTGATTTTAATGCTTAAGACTTGTGATTTTACATTGTGATGGTTATTCCCCATCAGACTTCATTCAGCGCCACAGGGAGAATTTTGTGGACTTTTTCCTTTGCATTGCATGGTTTCAGTTGAATTTTACAACGGTCTTCAGTCGATTTTTTTCATTTAAAATATCAAAAACAATAATCCCAAATGAATTGAAGCTTTCGAAAGCAGGCACTCACTAACTTACCCCACATCTACCGTGTAATGGACTTTCGAAACAAATGCTCGGAAAAGCTGCAACTCCCTGCTATAACTAACTACGTTCCCATCCCGGTAGAGGACTTTCAAAATGAATAAAACATTAACAATTTAAATTGAAATTCTAGCTCTCCCTCTCCCCCTCGTTTGCCATATGGGCTAAAACTTTATCCGAGGAATCGATCATGACAAGCACATCCAAAATGGCACCCGAAACTCAGAACAGTTTAGTACACCGTCATCCTTTATCGCACTGTAAATGCGCATTTCTCACTCGGGCTTGAATATAGTAGAACAAGTTTTAACCGTGCACTGAAAACCCCGAACTTCCGCGGACGAATGTTCCTTCTTCACCCTTTTTGCGGCCGGGCTAAATAAATTGTACACAATATGTGACTGCGCTCTGCGGTGGTTTCCCCACTCCCTGTCAAAACACCAACGCCGAGAACGCAACTAAAACGTTTTCAATTTGTTTTTAATATTAATTTCTATTCTGTGGGTACAAGCATTTAATTTAATTTGCACAATGCTTTTCACATTTACACTAGTTTGTGCTGATTATTAAATGGTGGCTATTTACTGCAAAGAAGGCTGCGAATAGCAAACTAGGAATAGCCTACTGTGTTAAAGTTTAACAGAAAACAAGTGGTGGATTTTTATTCAATCTCTTAGAAACCATTAATCCTAGCTAATTGATGATGCTCCTTAACGCCACTTCCGGCCGCCTCTGTTCTTCTTTCTCCGGATTTGAATGCGAACCGGGACGGTCCGTTCTATGTAGACTGGCCTCTCGAGGAACACAGGGATTTTCTTTTCAACGTGCACAGGGTATGGCACTTCGACGTATTCTTTTTGAACAACCGGGACCTTAACTTCGACCGGGTATGGCACTGGGCGATCTATGTGAACAGGAACCTTCTTCTCCACGATCACCCGAACTTTCTTTTCCACGATGACTGGCACCTTCTTTTCGACCTCCACCTTAAACGGAACTTTCACTTCAACGCGCTTCTCGACCTCTACCGGGTAAGGCACTGGAACGTGTTTCACTACCGGTTCCTTTTGCTTCTTGGATGGCGTTGGGCGATCCCGTGGGAAATTTGGGAATTTTTGGTTTTTTGGGAAGTTTTCTAATGACACATCATCCGCTTGGGCCAGATCGTCCCAAAGGTCCCGTTTGTTCATTTTGCTACCGTCGACTGCTGCACTGGCGGCGATGGCCAGGGCCATTGAAAAGATGACAAACACCTAGATAGGAATTGAAAAAAAGGGTCAATGGTCGCGATGAAATCCTTTCCTTTGAGCAGGGCTTACCTTCATAATAAGCGTGTCGTAGTATGATTGGTGTCCCAGCGTACAAGGATTGCTTGGTAATGAACGGTTGCGATGAGCACTGTTGACTGATGGGTGGCCACCGATAAGCTGGCGGTTTTTATACAACGCTCACACTCTTTCATAGCCGTGCGTTGCTCCCAAGATCGAAACATTGGAGTACATTCATTTCGGCAGTGTTTCAGCCACCAGTTGCTTCTGCGCTACTGTTTCCATCATGCCAGCACATCGATCGACGCTGCGACGTTGAATTGCAGCACATTGGTGATCATACAGACGTAGAGCGAATATGTGTATGTGTCAGTGGTCACCATGTTGCTATGATTTGGCGAAGATCCTACTAACTATGTAGGGAAGAACAGTACATAACGCACCCCCGGGGTAAGACGCACTTTTTCATTTTATTTTGAGTTTTTCTTGGAATTTTAAATCCAATTCTAGGATTTATCATGCAGAATTTTGAGTTCAGATGCTATGCTAGAAGTGCTGCTTGATAAGACAACAAAAAAGTTACTTAAAAGCCATGAAAAACACAAATGAAAGTCAGCTGGTGCGTTCTGCCCAGGGGGTGCGTTGTATACCATTCTCCCCTAAATTGATTCAGTAGGCGTGTGTTGCAAAAACACGAAAGGATCTTACAAGGCCTACTTGAGTTTGAATTTCTCACGGCTTTCAAAGTTCGTTAAAGTCGGACAGTTCCGCTCCGTTTTGATGGGTATCCCTGTGGGTGTGCTTAACAAATTGCACAAACCACCAGGTTGGATGTCGAAAACACTAATTGATCCGAATGATTGGGTAGGTCATTGAAATGTAAACCTATAAGTGTATCGAACCGCTATGCTACAGAACCGACAAACCTTTGTGGTTTCCGAAATGCGTGTTATTCACATACCCAAGAGCGAACAACACAGAGAGAGATGAGCGCCGGGTCGGGTGCGGGGTATAGGGAAATGCTAATGATCAATTATCATATGATGCGCGCTCTAATATGCGAAGCATCCGAGTGCGGTTGAAATTTGAGGCGAAATGGAAAGTTCGATTAGGTGAAGAATTTCAGTTTGATAATTGATTTGGGCACCGAGCGGAAGCGATCTAATACTGTTGTTCGCCATGTGGAAATTGGCTAGGTCTGGATTTTTTTTTGATTGATCTGTTCTGTTAAAATGTTTATTTTCAAAATATGATGGCGATTATGAGCTACAGTCGATCCTCGGCAACCGAAATAGTTTTGCATAATGTTATGGCTAATTTGAGTGAATTTAAATTTCCCGAACTACAATGAATGTCTCCAGCTGTAGAATAGTTTTCCATAACTACAGTCCACAACATTGAGTTCACTAACTCAATATCGAGTTATAGTACCATAGTAAACATGGCTTTCATTTCCTATATAATTATTGCTCTCGATAGTTCTATAATTTAATGGTCCCTTCTATATCCAGTTGTAGATAGTTCACTGTGTATAGTATCATGTCATGATATATAGTATCACGAACGACTTGGGGTCTCGCATTTCGTAACCCTACATAGATTTTGTAAATCTGTCGTCAATTAGTAATGTAAAATTAATTTTTGACAGTCATTATGGTTACCCAAAATAATACTTTGTCAGAAATTACCCTCCGCACAGCAAAAACATTGTAACATTTGTGAAATAGCTCTACCATTTGGCTACCAGGCTGGTTGGTGATAAAAAAAAACAGCAGAGAACTGTTGTAGTCCTGTCACATTCTCGTGTTGCTGGTACAACTTATTGATTTTATTCAGTTGGTATTCTGTTTTTGATGGTTGAGAGATTGTGGTTTTATAGAAGTATTTCAAGCGGAAGATGAGTTAAACGATTACGAACCAATTACCGGCGGGGTTATTTGTAACCGATCCATGCGCATGGAATTTTCATGGTTCAAAATATTGATTTAGCTCCACCAAGTTCATTCTCACAAAATTTGTTCTCATTAGTATACGAACTCCTACTGCACTTGGCCCTTTGAAGTTTATGTGGGAATTGAAAAATTGAACGTTAGGATAATTAGTTATTAATTGATTAGGAAGATGATGTTCTTCTGACATGGTTCATTTACTACTCAGCAGACAACATTGGAATAATAGGACAAAAAATCGGAGCTATTATGTCATAAGGGCAAGATGCAGTGTTGCCCTGAAAACAGCCGATTAATCCTACCAGCAAGTTATCAACTTGGAAATTAATTAAAAACAAATTTTCTTGACATTCCATTAAAAGTGGTTTTCAACAAAGTTGTAGCTGGGAAATTTTCACGTAAGAGGGGGGGGGGGCTCTGATGGATAACTTTTCCGTAAATCATTATGGTGCAGGGCTAAAAGGATGAGGACAAACAATACACTTTTCTTATAGTAATTCCCATATAAACTTCAAAGAGCCAGTGGTGCAGAATCAGTTCGCCACCAAATTAGCTCAAATTTTGGGATATTGATCACCCTGATTTGGATTCGATTGATCTTGGTGGATCAAATTGATAGGTATTTTGCAGCTGGCAGAGAACCCAATACTTCGTTGTTGAAATTGATTCGTGTGACTTCATCCATCAGTATTTTCAGCCTTTCAAGCTGTAGCCGACATCACTAGTTAATTAAAAAATGTACTTAAATTTAGAAAAAAGCATGGTGTGTTCGTCCCAAGTAGTAGTCAACCTGAAAATATGGTGAGAAATAAGGAAACTGGATTGTAAATTTTGGGATGAATCCAACATATTTGTCACACTCAACGGTCAGTATCTGAATCGAAAACCATGTTTTCCAAAATGTTTATTTAATAGGCTCAATATATTTGAAAGCTCTGCGGAGCCGAAGGACTAAACAAATATTACAATGGAGATCTAAATCGATTTCCTATATTTTTTGTGCTTACAACGCATCGAATCTCGACAGACCCGCAAACCTTTTCTGCCGAGGATGCTGATGTTCGTTTTTGCATGCTTTATCGGCCTCCTGAGGGCACGTCCATTATCACCACCTCTTCATGCAGCACCTCTACCACTTCCTCTGTTGATTTGCTGGTGCTGTCTGACAATGCACCTACAGCCACTACACCAGGACACGAACTGCTATCCGAGTTGCAAGGAATTTTGTAGTTCTTCAAGAAACTTCGTGGTACTTCAGGGAACTTTTTAAAAGTTCAGGAAACTTTCTTGACGTGCAAATTTTTCTTTGAAGTTCAGCTAACTTTGTAGAAGCTCACCGAACTTCAGTGAACTTCGTAGAGTTTCATCGAACTGCTTCGGTAACTCTCGTACCTGAAAAAGTTATAAGACAACGACACTTCATACACCTCGCAGCTCGTAATTGACAGTATGGGCTGAATGAGGTTATTCATACTGATTAGTAACACTTATGCTTCGTTTGACTCTAATGTTCCATTAACTGTTTTCACTAGAACACTGTCCTGATTTTGAATGTTTCTTTGGTATTATTATTATATTTTGTTTTATGCATTAAGACCAACATATGTCAGATTAATCATGAGCTAAATTTAGTGAAATTATTTGAAGTTCTGAGATCATGGAAAAGTTCAGAAAACTTCGTAGAAGTAGAAACTTAATACAAGTTTAGGTATCTTCGTAGAAGTTTATTGTTTAATGACAGGGAACCTCTTTATTATTCAGGGACCTTTTTTATAACTTCAGAGCTTTAATGAAACCTCATGGGCTTGAAATAGTTCAGAGAATTCCGCACAAATTCAGGAAATTTCGTGAGTCGAACTTTGCGGAAAATCAACAAGAAACGTAGACGTGAAGCAAGCTTTGATGAAGTTTTGTGGACTGCGTAATAATTCGAGGAACTGCGTATAACTTCATAGTTCAGGGCATTTTGAAAAAGTTCAGGGAATTTCGTAAAGATTGAAGACTTCAGGGATCTTCGTTTCAGTTTAGGGAACTTCATAGGAGTTTGTCAGAGATCTTAAAAATCTCAATGAACTTCCTGAAGATGAAGACTTTGGACCGTCGTTTAATTTCAAGTTACATTGAAATTTGAGTAAATTTTCTAAAACTTAAGGAAATTTTGTAGATGTTCAGGAAACGTTGCATAAGTAACAGGATATTCTTTCGGATATGCTCCCTAGACAGCCAGGAAGTTTTAAAAGATCAGCATTTGCTGATGTTCTTCTGATCTGAATTAACGAGTTGCTAAAAAAAGGATGACTTAAGAATGTGCTTAGGTTTTTGAATATCATAATTTTTCAAATGGATAGATCAACTTTCAACATGGTATTTTCCAAATTTAAACCATACACTCTAGCAACATGTTGGCAACATGGTGATTTGATTGGTTGATCTGTTTCAGGTTGTAGCAATGGCTGTACCACTTTCTGGTTTGTTGTAGCGAGAAGGTGGCGCTTGGTGGTCACTTTGTGGAATTGGTGCCGATACTCAGGCGCTTCCTTCTGACACTGTTGGTATACAAAGGCAAGGCCTATTATCTAACCGAAAAGGTTATTTCTTCTCAGCGATTACGGACATCGACGCGAAAACAATGCCATCAAAACCCGCAGAGCAATGGTCAGCAGAAGCCACCTAGATCGTACCGTGCGAACCAGAAAGCGATTTGAAGGAACGGAAGAGAAGGTCGGTAGACTTGGTGATATTAATAATTGGAATGGTAAATATATCACTGCACTGGTCTACACGCTCATCTGAGTTAAAGCCAACGATGCCCGCTCATGTCACTATTTTGCTGCAGCTATTTAGCATAGACCGCGCCATCACCCGCTTCTGTTATAGAACTTATCTGAATGCTCAATCACATGAGGCACATTAAAAAAAACTGGACATGTTTAAAGTAATGGTAACAAAGTACAAATGAAAGCGTAAAGGTAATACGCCAAGAAAAAAATGTTCTGCAAAAAATTCTTCCACCCATTGAATTATCACAACATTGCTGCATTTGTAGTATTCCGATATAATCTATTCAAAATACGTAACATCCCATCTAACAATGTATACCAGTTGTGTTGCCGATGAATGGTTAATTACGTTGAAAATGTGTGAACGTCTTGCAACGGTCAAATCTCCGTACT